TACCTTGCGGCAGCGTAGCGCAGCGCTTCCAGCGTACGCCAGCGGCAGTGCTGGGGAAAGGATGCATATCGATCTAGCTTCACCAGCGTCACCATCGTCACGCTAGCGGCACGCTAGCGTACGCCAGCGGCAGTGCCGGGGAGAGGATGCATATCGCTCTAGCTCCCCCAGCGTCCCCGGCGGCCCGCTGGCGTACGCTAGCGTGACGCTGGTGACGCTGGTGAAGCTAGATCGATATGCATCCTCTCCCCGGCACTGCCGCTGGCGTACGCTGGAAGCGCTACGCTACGCTGCCGCAAAGTATAAACGCAGCCTAAGTGCACAATTCCTCCTAAGCCGAACAGCGCTCAATAGGTCTTTCTAGAAAGAGATGGTCAACATAGAACTGAGGACGCACAGCGAGAACTTCAACCGCTTCACCGATTCCATATTTGTTGACAGCTGCCACACTGAATTCGTAGCCGGTCGCGGTCTTTAGGTCTTCTACAATGAAGGATGTTTGGAGATTAGGAACCTGAAATGGTACTTGTACTGATGAAAGCAGATCCCTTCACTTCAACAAAATCATAAGTTTAGGAAAGCTGGCGGGATACCGTACCGCTGAATTTGCGCGTGAAGTTAAATGTTTCGGTTCTGAGAGTGCACACAATTAGAAACTGCATGGAGAGGACAGGAAGCGAGAGCGATACTTTGCTTCCACCAGGCCAGAGGTTACTTAAGCGAAAACCAAGTAGTGTTGTGTGCACTCGCAGGTACTACGCGCGGTTTGGGGTACTGTACTCCGTCCGATCCCCTAAACATATATTTAGTTCAGTTTCACTTCATACCTCAGCAACTTTCTGGACCGTCCGTCGTCCACGTTCTTTCTTCATAATCACGTATCCCGTTATGGGTTCGCCTCCATCATCCAGAGGTTTCTGCCAGGTGATCGAAACAGAATCGCTTCTGATTTCGCTGACAGAAATTTCCGCTGGTGGGTCAGGTACATCTGAAGCAAATAAGGTCTATTATTAGGACACAATTTCGGCGCAGTTCGGCCACGGGGGGAGTGGCATTTTGTACTTTCGCTGCTTCACCTGTTTACACGTTCATCAGTCCGGTTGTCAACACTTGTAAGTTCATGAAATAATCCGGGAAATGAATTTCACCTTGAATTTACAAGAGTTGACAGGTGATCTTCACTAACTTTGCCTGGTTTCATTTTGTGGCTCCACAAGACTTCATAGGACAACGTTTGATGGCTCGACACGCCCATGGGAAGCAGCAAAAGTGCAAAGTGCCCTCTCGACCTGCGTCCACAAGTTTCTTATAAAAAGTCATACCTTTGACACTGACGCTGAATACTTTTGTGGTCTCGCCAAATTCATTTGATAGCTTCACTGTGTACTCTCCCGAATCGGCTTTTGTCGCCTGCCGTTTGCAGAACTTCAACGAATTCCCTTGAATGCCGAACTGAGTGTTCGTGTCCTGTTCCAGAGGGGCACCATTGAAAAAGCAAGTAGCAACCACATCATTTTGACCGTCAAACTCCAGACCGAACGCGATACTCTCGTCCTTTCCGATTTCGATGACTTCCTCGCTGGTGGGTTTGGCTTGTGGCTTTCCAGAGATGTGAAGATTCGTGGAAGATTCGGATCCATCCACATCCACCGCAAAATGCCCTGCATCTTCAAAATCGGCATTCCTGATCGTGAGCGTGCAGGACGTTCCCTCGCATAACACATCGTATTTTTCTGAGGCCGTGATAGCCTTACCGTCCTTGGTCCACTTGACATTTTTTGCGGGGCGGCTAAGGTCGACTGCAAGGACGACAGGTTTCCCTTCCGTACCCAGGGTTCTAGACTCCAACGGCTTTGTGATTACTACAACACTGTCCTCCAGGGTATTGTCTAATACTGGAGTTGCGTCGGGTGTCTTAATAAGATCTGATTCTTGCTTCGGCCGTTTTTTGGTTGCTTTCTCACGGGCGACCTCCTGGTTGTCTTCATTCCCTGCACCTTTTTGAACCGCAGATTCCTTTGAAGGAACACTTGCTACTCCGTTTGCTTCCTCGGCGTCAGGTGCCGGAATAGAATCTGCCTTTTGCTGCGACCGTTTCTTGGTTGCCTTCTTCTCATGTGTAGCTTCCAGCTTTTCTTCATTCAGAACACTTTCTTAACCACAGATTCCTTTGGAGGGAAACGTGCCGCTTTGTTTGCTTCCTCAGGAGCCCTTGCCTCCTGTACATCCTGATCTTTCGATTCGGAAACAGCTACAATATTTGGAGCCCCTTCATTGACAGCCTTCTTCTCATTGCTCGCACCTTCTTGAGTTTTCTTTTTCACCTTTTTCTCCTCAGTCTTTTGATTTTTCCTCTCCTTTTGGTTACTAAGCTCATGATCGCTCTCGCTCTTCTTTAGGCTTGTGTCATGCCCATCAGTAGCAGCTACTTGTACCTCGGTCTTCTTCGCTTCACTCGGGGCAATTCCGCTTAGTTTTGGCTCTTCGTGGCCACTCTTGGGGTGCACTGCTCCTTTCGCTCTTCCAGAAATTTCAGGGGCTATCCTTGCTTCCGTTTCTATTTCGGTCGTTTTCTCTTCCACTCAGGGCGGTCTCGCTTGTTTTTCAGTTCTTTCTTCTTTTGAGCTCACAAGCTTTCCTGATCTTCGTTTCGGCAGATTCCCGATCCGAGGCCCTGACGCGCGTGACGTCAGTCCCGGCTTCTTATCTTGTCTCAAAGAGAAAGGTGAATGGCATCCCTCTCCCCGCTGACTCCTTCTTCGACTGCATCCGACGCAGATGTTTCCTGTTCGCCTTCCGCGTTTACCTTTATTATAGTTTCTCCTTTTAGATCTTCCGTTGTTCTGGAGTCCTCAGCAACTTCACCGCAATTTTCGATGACGTTTTCATCCGCCGAGCCTTTTTCAGCTTGTTTCCCGGCCTTTATTTTGATTGGCTTTTGATTCCTGTGCTTTTTGCTATTCGGCTTTCCTTTGAGTAATTCTTCCGTATTGTTTCGGTGCCACTATGAAACTCGGCTTTTTCTTCCGCTGCGACCTTTCCAGATTCCGCCTGGCTAGCTTCGGCCGCAACTTTCTTCTTGCCATTCAAATCTTCTGTGATGGCCTTTTCATCGCCTGCGGCTACTAGCTGCGCACCGCCTTCGACGTCCTCCAGCTTTTCCGGTTCTCTTTCGTCCTCAGAAACACTTCCGCTCTCTACCGAAGTGTCCCTTTCCTGGCTCTTCTTCTTCGGAGCCCTTTTCAAAAGAAGGTACCTTTCTCGGCGCAGCTTTCTTCTTATCTTTCACGCTTCTCATATCCTCTTTGCTTTTCCTTGTTTGCGTGTTCTCTTTACCCTTCTCCACTTTGAGGACAACCTGAGGTTGTTTCTTCTTCTCTTCAGTCTCCGCTGCTTTTAATTTCAGTGAGCACGACTGATCGTCAATTTGGGACACACTGTCTGAGACTGTGGACAACTCTTCTTTCTCATACCCGTTGTCTTTCAGGGCCGGTCAAGTTGGCCTCGCCTATGAGAGCGCTTTTCTTGAGGTTCCTGAAGCTGCAACTTTGCTCTTGCTCTTCACGGACTTATTAGACTTCTCCTTCTTCCCTTCTCTGTCCTCCACACCATTCCGGGAATCAGTTCCCTCCAACTGACGATGTTTCCCTTCTTCCTCACACTCCGCCACGATATCCTTCTCGTCCTCCGTTCGTCTTGTCTTTTCTACTTTACCTTTTTGGTCTTCCTTACCCTGCGGCCTGGTCGAGTACAAGATTTTCCCCACCTTCGATACGAGAGACTTCTGCTGTGGCTCCTTCTACAGAGCTTTCTGTCGGTGGCCTGGATAGTGTCGACGCTATTTCCGTATTGGCCGTTACGTCGCTCTTGTCCTCTACAGTATCCATCACTTTGCTTACGTCTTCAGTCTTTATTTGAGTCACTGGTTGTGCTGCAGGTTTCTTCTCATTGACGAGACTATCGGGTTCTGCCGACCTTCCAACGGTTGAGCCTTTTGCTAACTTTTCTTCTTCAGAGTCTTTCCCGGAAAACTGTCCTTTCAGGACGCGGTGACGTTGTCTTCTTATCTTTCGCGCTTTTCACGTGTTTCTCGATTGCCTTTCTTTGCCGTTCGAGTCACCTTTATTCTGCTCCTCTTTAGAAACGATCTCGGATCGTTTCTTCTCCTCGGCCGCTCCCAATCCCAATCCCAGTGACGATGACTGATCGCCAGTCTCAGAGACAAGCTCTGCGAATTCGGACCCAGATTTCAGCCCTTCTTCTTTCGTGGAGCCATCAACACTTTTTGAGTCGACGGGCGCATCCGCCTTCCCAAGCTCATCCAAGCTTTTTCCGTTTCGCTGAACTCCCTCCAAGTTTCCAACCATGCTGAGAATCAGAGGCCTTCTTGCTATCGGTCAGCTCCGATTTCTCGGATGCGACTGTATCATCTCTCTCGTCTTTCTTCTTCACGGCTCTTTTGGTGTGTACAGGAGGCAAGGCCAGCTTTGTCTCGTGACTTCACTTTTAAGACTGAGTGTGGCACAAGCTTCTTTTTCAGTACTTTTGCCACTGGTTGGCTGCATATTGAACGTGAACTCCCCTTCAGAACGAGTTCCGCTGGCTGACCGACTCCGTGCGGCGCTTTTGACCTTCGCGGAAATGGTCGCCGACTGTGGCTGTTTGATAGGTGAGCTGACTTCGGCAGAACTTTCAGGAGCTGTTATGCTTGTCGTCATGTTTGCTTCCGAATGAAGAATGCTCGGATCACCGAATCGAGAGTTTATCTGAGTTGGAATCAGGAGCGCTTTCGGGATATTCTTTTTCTTCTTACCAGCTGTATCAGGTGAGAGGCTCACGACGACAACGGGAACGCAAAAAAGTAAAGACAAGGAACTGGACTGCGGGAATAGTCCTTTGTAGTCTCGGCGAACGGATCCTTTTTCCGTACATCAATTCTCCGCTTCGTTTCGAATTTACGCTCAGTTCTTGCCATCGCGCTGCTTGATTCCCTTCGCCACGTCTTTTCCGGCAAGTTTTTCCTCTTACTATCATTCTAATTTTGTCATCGTCAAGAAGGTCGCTCTTTTTCTTCGCGCCAGCATCGGCTTTCCTTCCTTCTCGAACTTTCATTTGAGGTAATGGCACTTCATGCTCCTTTTCGAGCTGTTTTGCTCCAGTTCTTTCAGAGGCTTCTGAAGACTGCACCGACTTTTCTGGAGCTGTTTCTTTCACGGCTGCAGCCTCTTTCTTCTGGTTCCTTTGCTTCTTTCTGCTGCTGTCGTCTTCTCTCAACTTTTCTACGTTCAGCTCTCCTGCAATAAGCTGCTTTTCTGAAACAATACGCATTTATTTAGGCTTTTGCAATTTGGAACGGGGGGGAGAGAAAGATGTGTAAAGGCAGTCGGGGTTCAATAAACTTGAGTTTTTTTAGACTCAATGGGAACTTCAGCTCATTCACCACAGTATCTGGTCAAGTAGGAGAAACGTGAGTTAGGTGTTTTGCCCCTCCAATCTAAACTTCGACGAGCTGTTTATCCTGGAAAACCTCAGTTTTCAAAATTTAGGTCACGACTTCAATTTGCCTGCAAATCCAGCCCCAGGGGTTGCTCTAAGGACCTGGTCCTTAACACGAATAGCACATCTGCTCGACACGAAACCGTATGGTGTCAGCGCCATAGGCGCCACCTATATGTACAGTGTGACGGCGGCGACCATAACACGGACCCAAGCGTTTCTTGCAAGGGGAGTGCTAAGGCAATTAGGGGTGCTGGACAACGTTCTTCACACCCAGTTGGCGATTGTGATAACAAAAAACGACTTTCTCTGCCGGTGCATAGTAACGCATTCTTCTTCTAATGCTTTAAGCCTCAACTGACAAAACTGTACTCTCTCCTCCAGGGACAGTCGCACCCAAGCGAATAGGTCTGCAGCTGCAAAAGCGTTTTTCCGGTTAAATGTGTATGGGTAACGGCTGGAGAGTTGCAATATGGTGTCGTCTCCCTAATCCACCCCTACCCTCAAGGTGCAGCGCTTGCACCAAGGCCTGCCGGCGATACATGCGTTCACTGTAAAGAGAAGAAACCGGACGTGTAAGAGAGTTCAAGAGATGTAAGCGTGTCCAGGCATGAGGCTATGATATGCGGCAGTTCGCGCGCCGACTAATGGAGATGGCTGCCCGGTGCCACAGCGCCTCTCAGCCCCTCATGTAGCAGTTTGTTGTGGAGACAGTGGCAGCGCTACTTGAAGCGCGGACACCATACACTCCCAGAATGGCAAAGGACCGGGGATACCACGGAGGTGAGTGTACACTTCGATCACAAGCAGAGGGAGGTATTAATAACCCCGAGGAAGGATAGCGGCCGAGCAGAAAGCCTAGCAAAGGAGTCCTAGAATGTAGAAAGAGTAGGATCCACTGTCGCGGCCCCCCCGCTAGCTTTCCATATTAACGCATAGAACGTGCGATATACTTGTGTTTAGGAGGTCAGAAGAGCCTATCCGGTGGCGCACGTTTCCAACCAGATTGCTGATTTAGGGTATTTCAACTGGGAATAAAACCCATGACCCAAACAAGTTGAGCCCGTAGAGTGAAGTCGCTGTAACTCAGCAGCAACAGAATACCGCAGAATCGTGGGAGTTGTTTCGTGTAGTCACGGACCAACGGAAAATGCTTTACCTCGGCTACTTGTCGAGAAGGTGGCGATCTCGATGTCGACTCCTCTATTGCCTCATTCTTCTCTTCAGACCGCACGAGTGCAATATTTTCTGCTTTCTCCACTTTCATTTGATGAGGAATCCTTAATCTAAAAAACGGAACTTTATATAGCTTTGATATTAATTGCTGTGAAGAGAAGAATGCAAACCTAAAGGCCCGCACAAATCAAATCAGAGTTAACACCAGCCTCTCCGGGGTGCCAGCGGATTCGCACCCGCTGACAAAGCGTATTCTGCTTCTTCCGTCTTCTTAGCGTTCTTCAGAATCAGCCAGTGCTTGTAGATGGGCTCTGGTTCGTGACGGATCTCATACTATAACATTTTTTTTTGTTCTTCCCCCTCCCCAGGGATGAATAGCTTCGCGTACCTTGTCGCTGTCAGAGATCAGCTTTCCGTCGCGATAGAAGCGTACATCTGGAGGTGGTGCTCCTTGAGTTGTGACCATCATCACGACTTTCTCACCCTCAACTGCATCGTGGTCAGAGAGAATACTGTCGAAATGTGGCGCAACCAGTTGCTGTGTCAGCCTGGGAGCATTCGGATTTGCCCGCTCGACAACCTGAACAAAAAGAAACCTTTTTCGCTGTAATGATGACTTCACTCAGAACACTCAGCATACACCCTTCGGATCTCCTAGTGACCTTCTTTTGACCTTATTTTCGATTTCACCGTCAGAAGAGGCTACGTCGCTGCGATTCAAATTTCGCAAAAATCCTTCTGGCGACTTTGCATTGCTGCCTGATCTACTGAAAATGTCACAGTTAATAAGAGAAAATAATAAATCACAGCGCAGTGGGTACAGTTGGTGGGGCGGGCGTTTGACGGTAACGTCATTGGTGGAGGGGTTGTGCGAGGGCGTCCGGCTAACACCAGTCAGCCCTTTTACCAATAACGCTGGCAGTAACCGCCTGCCTCTAAATATTCGTTTTGTAAAATTAGGACTCCCAACGATGCACATAAACGGGAAACACCCAGGAATCAAAGTTCAAAAGCCAAGTACACCTTTCTCTCCACCAACAAGGCTAACTACGTCCCCCTCCTCCCCTTTATAGAATTCTTTTCTAGATGCTGTATCCCAAGGGGTGTATAGCGTGCCTGAAACAGGAAAAATCAACAATCAAAAAAACTACACAGGCCAAATGCGACCTCCCCCCTGTGTGAGGAATTTCTTACGTATGACGTGCCCGTCTGGCCCATCGTAAGTCAGGCCCGATCTGCACACGGCGTGGCTACGCACTCCGCCAAGGGGGCTAGATTTCTTTCTGCCTATGCAGCAGCCCGATAAGACGCGCTTCATACTTTGCGTCAGCTGGATCGATAGCAAGACTTTCCGTAGAGTGCATCCGATAAGGCAAAAGGTCATTGTATGAACGCTTTCTCGAGGAAATATCGCGGAGGAGTAGTGGTGGCTTTTTACCTGAACTGCTCACGAAAACTTGGGAAATCACAGCCAGCTGTCAATACCGGCCATGTTCTCCACAAGCAGAGCATAGACATCATCGTCATTCAGGATTACAGTCCGCAATTTCCATTGTGAATGTCCCATCTGGAAGGAAGTCGTTAGAGAATTAACTGACCAGTTTTATTCAGCAGAAGGACATTACTGTGCCATACCGGGTTGAACGTCGGATGCTGTATTTGTCGGGATGGAGCGGCGGGATCAATTTCCTACCTTCTGACCATTTTTCAACCAAATCATCTCCGGAATCGGGTAACCGCACATCTTCCCTTGTAATCTGGAATCGTCAAATCTGTATCTGTCTAAAATTTGTATAATGTTAGTGAAGGTCCTCTGCACGAAGCGATCAAACCTTGCTGTCTGTCCGCTGGAAACGCACACATCCGCGACTGAAGTGGTGATCTCGGCTGCTTCAAATTCATGTTCAAATGCGTCGTATTTTGAATATCCTGAATAAGCTTATGATCAAGATGTCTTCACTATTCAAGCGACGAGCTAAAGGCAGTGCGTGCAATTGCAAGGGGCAGGTGGTTACTTCCAACGTCACTGGTCGAAGGGCTCAATGGTCAGTGACGTGAGCAGCAACAGTCCGCCTCCAGCCAGCAAGCCCGCCACCTTTAACGAAGTCTAGTCTAAAACGATTTGCTGCGCTTGACAATTTTTTGGACTGGGCGGGAGTCAAGCCCGGATTCCAATTAAGGACTGCCCGGGTGGTAAGCGGTGTGCAATTTGCTGCCAATACATCACCTCTGCCCCATTTTATCGCGATCAGATATTCTGTTCAAATAGGACTGCCCAGGGAAGTTAAAGGTAGAGACAACAACAAGGAAATCGTCGTCAGTTCCACAAATGAACCCCCTCGCCAGTGCATTTGTAGGAGCAAAGGGGGAGCAAATGCTGTGATTGGGCGAGATCACTGAGCAGTGTGTTGTGGTCGATTTGGTCGCCGCAATTTATCCCAGCTGATTTCTTACTGACAGCAATGTCCCTGCCTACATTCTTTGGCGGGTCTCCTGTAATCA